TAAATGAACTTTATCGTTTACTTTATTACAAAAAATTATTTTTCAAGCATATTATAAGCAACAATACCAACAGAAAGAAATTAATTAATGTAGCTACGGAATTTATTGTGTAATGGTTTAAAAATATTTGATAAAGAATTTTATGAAATTAATCAAGTATTATTTCTTAAAACATAGGACAGAGTGCCCCAAGATGGACATTGTTTTGATTTAATGCTCCAGAAGCCACATCGTATAAGATTAGTGATGCCGTTCGAGACGACAATTTCTCGTATCGTCCCGCCGTGTCTCGTCTCGCGCAACTCGAGACAAGAACCGCAATCTCGCTTCTCAAAACACCGCGTACCGTCTCGTCTCATCTCGAAAATCTCGACTACCACAGTGGTATAAAAATTAGTTTTTACAGTCATAAATCCTTACAGCCCTCAATTCGGGAAACGAAGCGTCCGGACGCTCGGAGGTCAGGACCCCTAACATCTGGAGGCCGGGCGTCGGAGCATCGCACAGTGGTTTAAAACTGGATTTTATCATTCAAAAATACTTAACTCCCATCTTTTTCGATCTTTTTCGATCTTCTTCAGAGAATCTTACTCAGTTGATCATTAATAAGCATAATTTATATTAAATTACCGAAATCGTTTAAAATTTGTACGTAAAATCTTCCGCCCTTTCCACTTCCGGGGTAAAAAATAAGGGGTTCGGTTCAAAAAAAATCGACTTAACCTTAAAATGATCTTGAAGGTCGAGGTCAAGGTCAATGTCAAGGTCACATGCTGAAATCTTCCTCTGTTTCCATTTCCGTGGTAAAAAATGAGGGGTTCCATTAAAAAAATCGACTTGATATTAAAATGACCTTCAAGGTAGCGGTGAAGGTCATGGTCAAGGTCATATTCGGACGTAAAATCTTCCGCTCTTTCCACTTCCGGGTTAAAAAATAAGGGGTTCCATTTGAAAAAATTGACTTGATATTGAAATGACCTTGAAGGTCATCGTCAAGGTCAAGGTCAAGATCACCATAAGTTAGCCTTGTCTGTACCCTACAACTTTTGTATAAACAAATTTCCTCCAAAATGCTTACTATCCGAGATATTCCTATCCGTTATTTAAAATGGGACACCCTGTATATTATATATTAGTAATTCAAGATTGAATTATTAAAAAGCAACAAAGATCCAGCTCCGACCGTAATAGGCAGTTAAATTTCTAGTATTAATTGATGTTCACATATATGTTCAAACATCCTTCTTTCTTTTGTAAAATTACTTTTCAATGTAATAGAAATAATAATAATAATAATGTAAAAACATTAAAAATAATAAAAAATGATCAAAAGTTTTATACTATTTGTTGTAATAAAAAAATCAAGTTTAAAAATTCTAAAAAAATTACTTATGTATAATTATATATAAAATTATACATAATTGTGTATGAACAATTATTTTTATATTTTACAAACTTGTTTTTTTCTAAAACAAGTTTGTGAAAATTATCCCTTTAAGTATTTTTTATATTTTCACATTACTATTATTATTTCTATTATACTGAAAAGTAATTTTACAAAAGAAGAATGGATGTATGAATATGTATATATTCATCATATATGACATATTTCATATATGATAATACGTGTTTATGCATATTTATGTATGTTTATACATATGCATACATGAAAATTTTTTTGCCTTGTCTTACAAATATTGTTTTTCAAATAAAACTATTTCATATACAAGCCCAGCTTTGATTATATCATTATAATTATAATTATTAGAGAAATTTAGTATCAGGTATTATCCGGCATTTTCTTACTATACGACCGGATAATCGGATATCATTAGTATCCAGGTATATAAAATTGTCCTCAATACGTGGCTAATAAATAATAAACAAAAGAAACGGTAGAGCATATGCCACACACTAGATCTTATCAGTGAAATATAATTAATGTATTCGTGTATAGAATAAAAGGAAATACAGTAATTATGTCAGATACAATGATTAAAAGTATAAACGTTTCGGCCCTCTTCAGTATAAAATAAATACAATGTATACAATTATAAAAATATAAATAATTACAAAATGACAGTTACAATTAGTGGAGTAATAAAGGTTTTACGTTGTCAAATTATAAAAATCCAATAAATATTGTTGAGTAATTAGTCGCAAGATGAAATTATCGATAGATAAATCTTCCAATGTAAAATATTAATTACAAAGATCGTTAACTTCAAGATTTAATTGCCAAACTAAAATGTATATACCAATTAGATATTGTCGCCACATTATACAGATAAAATTAAAAAGTAAAAACTGTAGTCTCACCTATATCTTGAAAACTAGTAACGATAGATTCGATCGTGGAAGATATATCTGGAGACACTGGTAGTGTCTCGGCGCTAAGCCAAGCGCAGCGACACTACCGTGGCT